TTTTGAATATTTTTTTATTTTATAGTTATTAATTATTTTAAATTTTAATAATTTTGATCTAAAAAAAGATTTTATAATAAAATATTATTTAATTTAACTTATAAAAAATTCATAAAACTTTAAGAGTTTTACTTGAAAACTCAAAAATATCAAATTATATGGTCAAGATTCGAACCACCATCAAATAACCCACAAATAAGTAACAAGCACAATTCCAGTAATACCCTACTAGTAATTATCTATTAAATTATGACATAAAAATTTATAAAACCTTTTAAAATTATAAAATTTTGAATTCATCTGATTTTACAATTTTATTATTTTGAGTTATATGAAATCTCGTTTTTAATTTTGATTTTATATGAATAACATATGTTAGATTTTATGATTTTATTCGTGATTTTGATAATTATTGATCTGACATATTAACTTGTCGTGGACGGCTTGTGTTCCTCTATGTGAGTTATATGAAATCTCGATTTTAATTTTGATTTTATATGAATAGCATACGTAAGATTTTTTGGTTTTTATTTGGGTAGCTTCACAGTCCAACACTGTTGAAATCCTTAACTGCTTCTACACCTGAAAATCCCGAAGTTGTTTTCTCGGGAAAAACACTCAACGCTCAAGTCAGCAATACTCAATATTCTAGAGAGAGATGCTCTCAAGGAGTAATTGCAGAAAGAGAAGCATAGAGATTAATTACCTTCATTAGAGGTAGTTGGGGGGGTATTTATAGCCCCTTAGTGCTAACATACATATGCACGTGTGAGCACCCCCTTGGCTCACGTGGCGCTGGTCACGTGGGTATGCTTGTACTGATGCTCCTTCAGCTTAGGCTAATGGGTGGTAACCTAGGCCCATTATGCACAGCCCTGTTTGGGTGTTGGGCCTATTCCAACATTACTCCCCCCTCGGTGTTTGGTTGACGAACTGGGATGGATGTGGCCGTGGGTCAATGTTCTAGCTGGTGACTATGACGGACAGCTTTAACAGCTTACTGCCGACCTTGGCGATGGCCGAGCTGAAAGGTAATACGAAAAGAGGCGAGCTCACGAGCCTGAAGGGGTGGAGGCGAGCTGATATCCTTAGCCGCACTAGTGTGGGCTTGTGGCGACCTGACCCCTGAGTACTACCGGAGTGCGACCAGAGAATGCTCAGTTAGCCATGATAGCGAGCTGAGGAAACGCGGCCTCACCCGCAGTGCGACCTAAGATTTTTGACTATTACTTTAGCAGCTCGCATGGGTAGTGCTGCTAGATAGGGCGACCTGAGGTACCCATTGGTCTGTAAAAAGGTCTATGACCCGTCGTGAGTTACAACCCGTGTAATGACCTGATAAAAGTGGTTGTCGCCACGATCTGTGACGAGCTGAATCTTGGGGAATTTTAGTAAACGATCTACAATTGTGAACGAATTGTCACGGTTAAGCTGACCTGGCAAATACGTCACGTTTGTGACAACCTGGTAAGTGTGCTCGCAGTGGCGAGCTGATGTGACGGGATAGGGTACACTTCGCTGTTACGATCTGAATCTTGTGGATTTTGAAAATTCATCAGATCTCTGAGATCTCTGAGGAGATACGGTTGATCTCCCCATATCCCTCTGTCTTCCCCGTCATAAATGCTGGCTCAGCATTTGAGGGACGTAACAGCTAAAGCCGGCACACGCTGTGCAGAAGGGGTGTTAAGCGCGTGCCACATGTAGGACGCTAATTGGCGCGTCAGAAACACTCGTACGGCCATTAACATAGCAATTTCGATTTTGCTCTTTACGTAACCGTTCCCCTTTCCATTTTCATTTCACTGTTTGTTTGAGCCTGTTGGAACTCTCTGCAGCAGAACATTCCAGTGTGAGGAACCAAGCATCAGACCATACACCAGACCACTATTTTCAGGTAAAATGGATTCTGTTAGAGGATTTACAGAGCTATGAGGTAACCAGGGCAGAGACGGAGAAGAGGAAGGGGTTTTATCAGTGGAGCCTATCATGATGATAGTGCTGCCTGAGTTGCAGGACTCGCCGGAAACAATGGCGTCTGAGGGAAGCGCTAGTTCGAGCGCTAGGGATGACGGTGGCGACCATCCTACTGCGTTGTCTAGCAGCTCGTCCACTGAAGAGACACCCAACCGTGAAGAAGGGATGGGGGATGTGGTGAGCAGTGTCTCAGATCAGCTGGTGGTGGGGGAATGGGAAGGCGTGACAATCCCTGGCAGGTTGAGTAACTTACGAAAAGCACCGAAGGACCTACCCGTTGGATTCAAGTTCAAGGCTGCACTTCATCACGAAGTAGCAGATTGTGTGCCCTCCATAAGTGGGTATAAAAGACTCGAGGAGATGGTGAGGGCGTACCACATCCCCAAGACCATATTGCTCCGAACTGGCAGGCAGAACGAAAGGGCGTGCACAGTGTCGCAAACGGGCTGGATACCAATATACGTGGACCACTTTGACGCCGGCCTGCGGTTTCCCCTGCTCGGATTGATATTCGATCTGCTCACGGATTACGAGCTGGCGTTGACGCAGCTAACGCCCAACAGCATAAGGTTCATCATAGGCTTTATGCTGTTGTGCACGAAATTAGAGGTACCAGCCAAAGCGATAGTATTCAGGTCGCTGTTCCAATGTCAGCTGTGCCTGAACTCCAAAGGTGCCAAGTGGTACTATCTCTCTGGGAGGGAGAAGAGCCAGCTCTTCAGAAATGTGAGGAACAAGGTGGCGAGGTGGAAAAGACAGTTTATTTTCGTTCGCGACACGCGAGCAGAAAGGATAAGCAACGACCTCGCTGCCTGGCTATCAGAATGGCACACGCCAAATGCCCATATCAACTACCCTCAGCTGCTGCCCCGGGATGTAGATCTAAAGAACCAGCTACTTGAGTATGCGAAGAGGGAGAGTCTAATAGATCTAGAAGCCCTAGTTACCTTGGAGCAGCCCGCCGTGTTCGGGTTTGTCGATGTGACAAACCTATTCAGCGAAGGTATATTTTTATCATATAGCATGGATTCTAGCCGAGCTGAGACTTATGCATTTGTTTGTGCAGGTGAAATGAGCAGCATACTGGAATGCCAGCGTCAGCGAGCCCATAGCTCACGAGGCCGTGGGGCGAGCAGCACCTCGTAGAGGCAAACGCGGTTCGACGAGCGGCTGCCTACAGCGCCTCAATCATGCAGCTTGTCCCATCAAGGATCCAGCTCGGCATCTAGGCCGCGGGCTGAGCATAGGGTCGACGCGGCAGCTCCCAGTGCACGTAGGCATGCACGTGAAGAGACGGAGAGAGAAGAGGATGAGGTCCCCCTCGCACGGCGTAGAACAAGGGGGGGGACTCAGCCCGCGCAGGCGGCTCGTCCTGCAACCGTGCGTTCACCCAACGCACCGTCAGCGACTACGCGGGCAGCAATAGAGCCCGCCTCTGCATTGGCCTCGATGTCGAGCCCCAAGATTGCTTATCCTAAGGGCTTCAGCTATGTGCGGGTGGAGTGCCAGCCCGCCATGGTGCAAGGCATGCACAGCTTTGTGCCCCCTGCCGATAGTAAGCGGGCAAAAGCTTTTGTGCAGCAGCATGGCGGCCAGGTCGCCATGATAAAACTGATGGATGTAAGTATCTACTCGTACCTGCTTGAATGTTTTGCTTTTCCTTTTCAGAGACTAACAGTAACCGCTGTTTGGTAGGCGTTCAGCTACGCAGTAGTGCTGTTCGAGAGCGAGCAGGGGGCTCGTACACAGAACAGCAAGCTCAACGCGAACTACAAACAACTGGCTGCTGAGAAGGCTAGCCTCGTGGATGACGTCAACCGTCTACAAGGCTCTGAAATGGCCAACCGAGTAGCCGCAGCGGAGAGTCAAGCAGAAGAGCTCGTAAATAGGATCAATGAGCTCAAGGAGGAGCTAGAGCGAGCCCGTGCTGAGAGAGAAAGTGGGATTCAAGCGGCGAAGGATGAGGCCGCCCGGGTTGAAGAGCTAGCTAAGAGAGCTGAGGATGAAAGGGACCGTGCTTAGAACAAGCTGGGTTCCCTAAAGTTCCAGGTCGCTGAGGCTGACAAGAACCTCAGCGCTACCAAAGAGGCGCTGAACGAATTGAAGGCATCTCATGTGCGCTCCGTCGGTATTGCCCGAGCCCAAAGAGCAGAATGGCTGGTCGGCTCGTCCACGTTCCAAGACGCAGTGGCGGTGGCATCTGCTAACATGACCACGGAGATCTACAACGAGATCCATGGTAAGGTGTTGCACCACCGCCTTGACTTCCCCATCCACAAGCTGGCGTTCTTCGATGGGGAAGATATTGACGAGCAGGGTAAGAGCCTTGCTCCCCTGGCTGACACAACGGTGCGGTTGAGATGGGATCTCAACGAGGAGGGAGTTCTCGTCTAGCCTCCCTCAGTTTTAGAAGAAGGGGAGGGCCCAGTGGGGCTGCCTTCCTTTGACGGATGGGTAGAAGGGGCTCCTGTTGCTGAGCAGGAGCCATCCAGCACTCCACCAGACTCTCAGCCCGCCGTGGTGCCAGCTCGATCTCCCGTTATGGCACCAGCTTCTGAGGTCGCTGCTCGCTCGCCACCAAATCGCTCATCTTCGCCTATAGCTGACGCATCCATGCCCGTCGATTTAACGGATGACTAGGCTTAAGACTTTTTTCTTTTGTTCCTTTGTATTTTCTTTTGATTACTTGTATTGATCAATGACATTATATGTCATGTACTTCAACTGTAAATGGTCATTGATGAAATACAAATTGAATTTCCTTTTTTTAACTTTCTGTGTTTTGATTTCTCTATGAAATGCCATTTACAACTGATCCATGACGGCCTGAACGCTAATAACATACACATTAACTGTAAAGCTAACTTTTAACTGTAAAACTTTCTAAGGTTATGTATGTTCCAAATGAATGGTAATGGACGACCTTGCAAATCTGCTAATCGGTAAGACCCAGGTCGTTGAATAGAAATAACCATATAAGGTCCTTCCCAATTAGGCGCGAGCTTGCCCATGTGCAAGTGAGCATTCGTCAATCCAGCTTTGCGTAGAACCAGATCGCCGACTTGAAACTGGCGAGCTCGAACTCTTTTATTGTAAAATTTTGCAACACGAGTTTGATGCACCATGTTTCTTATTCTAGACATCTCCCTAACCTCTTCCACGAAGTCTAGGTTTTCTCTCAACAGTTGCTCATTGTTGAGATCGTCATGCCAGCCTACTCGATCAGATGGCAGTCCCACCTCTACTGGGATGACGGCCTCAGCTCCATAGGCCAGGCTGAAAGGGGTTTCACCCGTGTCCGAGCTGGGTGTAGTACGATAAGACCAAAGCACTTTATTGAGCTCGTCGACCCAATTAGAATGTGCAGCCAAAACACGTGTCTTGAGGCCTCGCAAGACGATTTTATTGGCGGACTCGGCTTGCTCATTAGACTATGGAGTATACATAGGGATGTCAACGGGGCCCCGCGGGGCCGGGGAGTGCCTCCCCGTCCCCATCCCCGCGAATGGCGGGGACGGGGATCCCGCTGGGGATTTTTGACGGGGGGCAGATTTTGCCCCCCGTCCCCATTCCCCACCAATTAATAACAAAGTATATATTTTTTGTATCAAACATAAATAAAAATTAATTTAACACAAATAATTAAATCAACAAAATTGTTCCAAATAGAGATTAATCCAACATAAAGTAACATGTTCCAAACATAAGTTGTTCCAAATATATATAGAAATTAATCCAACATAAAGCAACATACTTGTTCCAAATATAAGCAAAAATCAACCCAACATAAATAAAATAACTAAACTAAACCAACATTCAACATGAAGGAAGCAGCCAAGAACCAACTCAAACCACTTTAGCTCTCAAAATCCACAATTGCTCATAAATAGACCTACAATACAATTAGTAAATACTTTATATTAACATATTTATAAAAAAACTGTTTATATTATTAGTATAAAAAAGGGTCATGCATATTTACCTCTGAATTATTGTCTTCATCACAATCCACATCCTCATTTTGAG